TCAAAGCCAGACCATGTCTGAGACTCTCATCACAATTAATTAATTAAACAATTAATTGTGATTAAACTAAACTACAGTTGGCCAATGCTCAAAAGCGAGCAGGAGCTCATGAAATACAACCTTTAGTGTACCTTGCTTGTAAGGAATTTCTGTCTTCCTCCTACAGTGACAGCAGATTCATGACAGATACCATGCAAAAAACAGAAGAGAAAAATAGAGAAAAAGAAGCCCAAAACCATTAACTAGATGTGCAGTTCTGTTTGCAAAAGTGAGGACTTCACAGTAATATTCCGTGCCCTTATCTTTGTGCAGAAACAAAACCTTTTCCACTTCCATCTCCAATGGTACTAATGCAGGTGAAGAGCTAACAAACTTCTTTTCATGACACAACAAAAACCTCAGCTCGCATGTGTGCAACAAAGTGTAAACCGAGCTAAGGTTTAAGTTTCCGTCTAACATACTGCTAGACTCATTAACAGCCAAGATGCCACTACTAGATTTACACACAAGGTCAGATTCCTTTCAGTGCTGCTACATTATGTGATGAAAGGTATTTTAACATTTTCTTGCTATTGAAAATTCTAAATAGTGCTGCTCATTTAAAATTTATTCACTTGTCTACTGATGCTTTTTGAACAGCACTGTTCTGTCTGAACATTGCAGTTTTGAGACATGGTCCTGAAATCTGGTTGTGTGATCCCTCTGCGTAATGTCACCCTGTGCTGGATACATGCTCAGCAACTTGAGTGCGCTTCTGCAACTTCAAGTTGGGAGACTTATTTTTTTAAGGCAATCTCATAAAAGAAGAAAAAACAAGCAAAAAAGGATACGCAGTTCCTCTGATGCGCTTGATTTTGCCAGGGTCTGTGAACTGAATAGGCTGCAAGACCTTTCTCACTGGGCAAGCAAATAGTATCTCTCCACCCCCTTTGGGAGGCATTCCTCTCCGGTTGATCTAGAAACAATGGAGGAAAAAAGCAGGTTAGTAAAGAGCACACAGAATGTGCTTACACACTCAAAATTTATAGCTTTTATTTCACATATAATAAGTTGCTATCAGTAGGGGTATTATGTGAACAAGATCAAGAAAAAGCGATCCTAAAGACAGAGACAGATTTTGCACCAATCCTGTAAGCAAAAATCTGTTTCTGTTTTCCTTCCCTCTCACAAATACAATAGGTCATGGCTTTTCAATCCAAAACAAAAAAAAACCAACCTACAAAAAAATGAACATATTTACCAGAAAGGCAACCTTGGCTTAAGACTGGTCTCTAATAGCAAATCTGTACCTCACTGCCCAAGAAAGTCTGCAAGTGTTTGTTGCTTAATATGTATATGGGGCACTGGAATGCATTCATTCCCATAAACAGGCCTGGCCAGCCCAACCCTGTCTCACTGCCCCAGCCAATGTCCACAAAGACGGGGATGGGACAAGCGCCTGTGGGTGGGTCTGGCTCAGGGGGCTCATGGCTGGGCAGGGCAGGGCTGTGGGGAGCTGAAGACTGGCCCTGCTGCAGGGTTGCTGAAGCAGGGGCTGACAGTCCCAGGGCGATGACATGGGGTCCTGCGCCACAGGCAGAGTAGGGGGAGTCACCTGGGGGTAGCTTGGCAGAGCAAGCAAAGATGAGTTTCGCAGCGCTCTTAACTTTGAAAGGATATAGTTTCTCCAACCTGAAAAATCCCTATTCTACCTCCAAATTTATTTGGCCTGTGAAAAGTGAGGTCTTTAAAGAAAAGTTTCTTTCCTGTATTTTCCAAACTGGAAGTAAACCTCAATCACCCACACACAGATACAGCTCCTGTAGCAGTGAAGGAGGCAAAAGATTCTGCTATGATTCCCTGGCCCTGAGCATAGGTTAAGAAGAAAGCGGAAGGAAAAAGAAATTAAATGAACTGAAGAGGAACAAGACAGACAGAAGAAAGGTTTCTTAGTTTGCAGAGATCTCAGAGACTAAGAGAACTCACTATTTTCTCCTTACTCTCGCCACCAATAGCTTTTTCATCTCTCTTCTACCACATCCTCAATCACTGTGTGGCTGGAATGTCATATAAAACATGCCAAGAACAAAAGGCAATTTTAGAAATGTGTGTAGCTACAAATAGGTATCTGCTAGACAAATACCAGCAGCAAGCACACAGCTTGTGAAGCAGTGCAAAATTATCCTTTCAACATGTGCTAGAAAAGAAAGGAACAACTTTTCTTACCTTGATTTCCAGACTTTCACCATAAATTCCAAACTTCTTCAGCAAGGGTAGTGCTGTTGCCTTAAGGACATCAACCTACAGAATACAGAATTTAAAAAGAAAACTCTTTATTGGATGTTACAAAAGTCAGCAATTTTAAAATAATTGCATTATGAGGTGCCTATCAAAGACAAGGCTTCTCCATACTAGGTATTCCATGGAAAGATGTGGGAATGCAGCACAGAGAGCTTCGGCTCCTCTTAGACTACCACAGTATCTAATTACTCAAAAAATTTGCTAGAACTAATTAGTAGGAGATGGAATTTCCTATTCTGTATTTCTTCCTCAGGCTGATTTTTAAGTCTGTTATGGTTCAGCTAAAAAAACCTCTCCTAAAAAGGCAGGCTGAGAGAGCTGGGATTGTTCAGTCTGGAGAAGGCCCTGGGGAGACCTTATAGCAGCCTCCCAGTACTTCAATGAGTGCTACAAGAAAGCTGGAGAGGGACTTTTTACATGGGGGCAATGGCTTTAGACTCTAAGAGGTATTAGGAAGAAAATATTCACTATGAAGAGTGGTGAGACACTGGCACAGGTTGCCCAGAGAAGCTGTGGATGCCCCCTCCCTGGAAGTGTTCAAGGCATGGCTGGACAGGGATTTGAGCATGGCAGGGGGTTGGAACTAAATGATCTTTAAGGTCCCTTCCAACCCAAAGCATTCTATGATTCATCATAGATTTACAACCTCATCCTTCTGTCAAGAACTTCTTTTCACCTCTTTCTGAGAAACAGAAGCTTTTAGGTAAATTCTGCTGAAACAGAGGAATCTGAAGTGGGTGACACATCATCCATGCTCCCTTTGAGTCAGACACTCACTACATCCAGGTGTGAGCAAGATTCTCCTTGCCATTCCTCTTCCTAATTGCTGAGCTAAGACAACAGCAAGTGTCATCTTCTTCCCTCTGCTGAAACTTCAGCACCATTGCCAAAAGTAACAAAAATAACTTTGCAGTGCAACAGCACAAGGAGTTACTGAAGACAAGCAGCTTGGGAGACAGGACCAGGACAGCAGGACCAAAGAGGAACTGAATTCAGGTAATGGAAACAGGCATGCAGTAGACAGCAGTTGAGGAGGCAGAAAAAAAACCACCCTCCTTCCCATGCCTTCAGCCAGAATCCACAATTCTTGAGTCTCATTCTCTTTGCTTTGCAGAGAGTGCAAGACACTGATGAAGCAGGAGCACATACCTCATCTACGAAGCTGTGAACAACCTGTTAAAGCTACCTAAGTAGCTACAAGTATATGCTGCAGCTCTCATTCTTCAGATCCTGCTGGCCAACACACTTCCTTTCTTACAGAGAGGCATTTGGTGTTGTCTTTAATGGTAGTATCAATATTTGAATGTCTCCATTTAAAAAACCCCAACTAAGTAAATTATTCATGTTTTATTTTTATTTATTTTCTATAAAGATTTATTTTCTATTTTTATTTTTATTTATTTTCAGCCAGGTTACCTTAATTTGGCCCCTCAGTAGTATTCATTAATCACACAAATTTGGTTTTTAGAGCAAAACCCTTTACTAACATGCATGTGCACAAACATGAGTACCACTGGCAGATGTCTCAAGAAGCTGAACTGGTTCATATTAAAGTTACACAACACTTCTTCCTCTTTCTTATGAAACAAAATATACCAGTAAAAAAGAAAAGCTTCACTGCATAGGCTGAGAACTCCCTTTCGCTCCTCCATTTCTACTTTTGCAATTCCTTGGACCTAAGTCTGTATCTCTGGAGAAAGCATGTTATGCCAGCATTAGGAAGCTGGACCAATTCTGAGTCTGGTTTGTCTGTCTCCAAAAATTTCAAGACTTGTCATAGTTTTAGCCCTCAAAAAAATTCCTGGCATAATACTTATCAGGTACCAGACAGACACACTATGAAAGACTGTTCCAAACTTGCAGCCTAAAAATCAGCAGTATTTGAAGAAGTGGAGAAGGCTGTTCTGCCCAGCAGATGAGTGGGAGCTCAGGCAGGATAGGTTACGTAGTTCACTGGAAATCACAAGACAGTAGCAGAACTGAGACCTAACACCATATATTCTAGTATCTTGTCTGCACTCAGCCATACAGCCATCCTTCAGCTCCTCTTGAAGGACAGTTATTCTATCCCCAGAGCAGACAACACAAGTTGTACCAAAGCAAATGCATCGTACAACCCAGGGTGTACCTCACCACAAACGCCAACAACTTGCTAAGACCCACAGACACTGCTTGTGCACAAAGTAGTGTAAATACAAACCATTTTCCTTGAAAGAAATATACAACCAGAAGAAAAAGAAAAGGAACTTTTAGTGGTTTGCAGAATCCTTTAGCTAGTGCAAAGCTGCAAAAAAATCCAGACACAGGGCCCTACAGCACATGAATACCTAGAAAGGGGGCAAGCATTAGCTGGCCTGCGTAGTTCTTAGTACTGCACAGAAGACCATTTGTCCCTGTCATACATACAGTGTTGTTTTGGGGACAAGGACCTAGACTCAGCGTTAAGGTGAAAGAGTGAAACCAGAGTTTAGCAAGTTTAAAAAAAATAAAAGAAAAAAAAGAAAAGTCAGTAGGAAAAACTTCTTGTTTTCCTGGGATTACAGACAATTGCTGAATTTTGATTAACACTGAAGATTATTGCCCCAAGCCAAAACTTCATATGCTAGTCTCATGCCAGCATGAAAGTAATTTCAGTTGAAAGTCCCATGGTATAGCTGTAAAAAAACTTCAATACTTACAAACCCAAGCATTAAGAACAATTATTCTAAAACTAGTTTACTGCAGCACTACACATCTGTCAGAATAACAACATGTAAAGGAAGAAAGGAAAATAAGAGCTCAAAAAGGCACTTCACAAAGACACCCCATTGCACACATATCTACTCTCTACACAGAGAAACCTGAAACTACCTCAACTCTATATGCCAGTCCCACATGGCTGGCCCCATAAGCTGTCCACAGTCAGGTCTCATCAGTGGTCGTGCAGAAAAACATAATGCAAATGCAGGCTGCAGTGAACAATTCAGGTTGGTATTCCAAAGCCACATCTCTTCATGACAAGTGCAAGCAAAGTAGTATCCCTCTCACTCATTTAGGATGCATCAGTCACACACCATAATCACCACAGTCCAACCTGGAGCAAATGCAAATTACCCTGCATTTCAGTGGCCACAGCACTCATTCAGAATGGTGCCAGGTGTCCAAGAGCTTTGGAGGGCTATTAACATATATAAACAAATGCTAATGTAAACACTCCAGGAACTCAGCATGACCTGTGCCTCACTGAAGTCACCTTAAGCCTTTCCTTCCACAAGCCACCCTTTAGTAATGCCCTTCCTCTCGCCTGGACCACTTCCACTCTGCCCACAGCAGGAGATCTGGCAAAGAGTAACCCCAAACCCACAACACAACAATCACATCCAACAGGTACTTTTGCATCTCTTTAAAAGCTAAGCTCACTGCTGAGAGCAGTTTTCAGAAAGCACCACGGGTCAGCCTAGCTGCTCCCTGCTGCCATGAGGGAAAGGCCCTGCTTCTCTGGCTGCACACAGCTTCCCACTGCTTACCTTGTGGATGCCCCTGTAGGAAAACACAGGGGCATAGCTCTCTGCCATTTTGCCAGTTAGTTGAACTGGCTTAAAGAAGGCTCTGAAAAATGTCCAGGGTATTGGAGTACACAGGACTGTGTGGCTGAAAGCAGGAGATACGGAGGGAGGATGGCCAGGACTACCCCCTCCTTTCAAGCACAGAAAGTGTGCTAAAGGATCATATGTGTTTGTGTGTGTGTACATATATATTTTCACATACACATATGTGAATTTGTACGTTAATCTGCAGATGACAGATGCTGAATATACTCATGCAAGGATACATCCCACAGAGTTCATCTAGCTCCACAATAAAGATATGCATTTAGAAAACATGATATCCCTTTTACTAATAAAACCAATAAAAATTCTCCAAAGCAGATGAGCGGGTGCCTTGCCTATTATACCTATGATGTTGAGATGGAGAGGTTCTTACACAAAGAGCAGCAGGGAAAATTCCTTGCCCATTTTAAACTACCCACAATGCATTTACATTTGCCTTTCACCATTTTCCTTTGAAAGACAGATAGATAGACAAATTTAAGCATTCCTTCTTCAGCAAGTGTAAGTATCAAATGTTCACCCAGTTTCTAAACACCTTCTGTGTACTGAAAAATAAAATCCCAAATCAATTTAAAACAAAGTTTCCATTTACTGAGACACTTATAGTAGCATTTAAACTTGTGCTTTTATTCTCAGTAACCTACAGAGCCATATGCTATTCAAAACATCTTGTCAACTCCTTGAAGTAGTTTACTGTTGTGCACCAGGTTTAATGTTTACTCAGGCAAGTTAAACAGACATTAACCAGGATTAAACCAGTTTTAGGAATTGGTATTCAGTTATCACCACTTAAAAAGTTACTACACACAAGCTGTGTCACAGTAGCTACAGCTCTCAACAGCACAATCAACTCAAGATACAATTCAAGATATAAATCCTTAGCATGCACATATCTGTTTTATTTACACTTAGTGTCACTGCGATTCAGCTGACAAATGCCAACACCTGTCTGTGTCTGAGCTTTGGCCAGTGTAAGCCCCTTTCAAGCACAAACTAACCGGCTCAAATTTTCACATCCATTTCAACTGAAATGGCTTTATCTCTATTGGCCCATACAGCTGATGCCCGAAAGGGATAATTTCCAGAATCAAGACTCAGTTGCTTAGATGAGCATCCAAACTTCCTTGACAGCAACATTATAACTGAACTGCTCTTCATCTCTAAATTCTTCAATTATTTCTCCTTTGTGATTAAAAAGACACAGTCAACCAAGCGAGACTTCTTTGATTCTTACTACTTACCGTTTCTATTAGACACTTTCAATCACAGTGACTGAAAGAAAGGTTAGATAAACATGCTTCCCATTTTACTTATTTTTTTTCTTTTCCTTTTTGCTTTTTGACAATTCTGTCTATAACCCACTTCAACCATCCTTTGACTCATGTGGGTGTCTCACAGAGCCAC